TCCATTCCCTCCCCACTCCAGGGGAAGGATGCTGCAAAATCCCCATTCCCTCCCCACTCCAGGGGAAGGATACTGCAAAATCCCCATCTCCTCCCGATGGGCTGGGACTTGGCAGGCAGAGAATAGATGGTGGCAGTGCCAGTCAGAGGCTGACTCTATAAACTGCTTTGAGAGGGCTGTAAAGCACTGTGAAGCAGTATATAAAATGCTATTGCTCTTCCTTTTTCTTTCTTTCCTTCTTTCTTTCTAATCCTTCCTTCCTTCCTTCCTTCCTTCCTTCCTTCCTTCCTTCTCTCCGTTCCATGGTGCACAGTGGTTAGAATGCAGCATTGCAGACTAACTCTGCCCACAGCCAGCAGTTCAATCCTGACCAGCTCAAGATTGACTCAAAACTTCCATCCTTCCAAGGTGGGTAAAATGAGGACCCAAAATTGTTGGGGGGGGGGGCAAGAGGCTGACTCTGTAAACCGCTTAGAGAGGGCTGTAAGTCGAAGTGCTATCGTTAACCTGTCTCACTTAGGGACAGAAATGTTGGGGTGAATTGCGGCCGCAAATCGAGGACTATCTGTATTCTGAAAACCCCACAGTCAGATAGTAGCCAGAGAGGGGGCTATTTTCAATTCTGTGATTTATGTTCACTGCCCTCCTCCTGAAAAGCTTTGGGGGGGAGGGCAGGGACTACAGGAGAACAAAATCAAGAGCCCCCCTACCCCCTGCCCCGCCCCACTTACAATGCAAGGTGAGATTGAAAGGTTGCGATTCCTCCGTGCTGACTACCCCGTTTGGCATCTTGTAGCTGAGTTTGCATTGGAAAACGGAGTTTTTATCTGCTTTTTTGGGACGCATGTAGAGTACGCTGGATCTGGAATATAGTCCCGAGGCTTCCTTCACCGTCCTCACCACCTCGTAGAGCTCTGGGGAGGAAAGACAACACAACGAAGATGAGATTCGCAACCGATAACGTCCACTGTTTCAAACGTGTATAGGCTGAAGGTGGGGTTTTTGTTGGTCCCCTCTTCATTTACATCTGTCTGTCTGTCCCTCCATCTCTCTCTCTCTCTTCATTTACATCTGTCTGTCCCTCCATCTCTCTCTCTCTCTTTCTCTCTCCCCTCCTCTTTCTCTGCCAATTTTTCCTATTGCATGTCCAAGTTTAAAGGGTGTCTCTTTATGGGTCTGCCAATCCGAGACCCCTTGGGGGGGGGGAAATACCTGGCTGTCCCTCCTTCTATTCAATGAACAAAGAAAGAAACGGCTTCCTTACCTTTGTTGTGTTCGGTGGTAATATTCAGAAACTGCCCATCTTTGTACCAGCTGACGGTTGGCGCGGGGTAGCCATTTTTGCCCGTGCACACAGCTATCTGAGAAAGGACAGGGGGGGGGGGGCTACTTAGAAAGGCCTTCACAAGCCCTGGGACCCCCTCCTGGGACCCTCCTCCCCGGCTCCAAAACGGTCTATGTAGCCGTTGTTTTCAACTCCACGCACCTGGGCGCATGCCACACGCAGGAGCAAATCACATGTGCCAAAGGCAGCATATTCATGCGTGGAAGGTGCGTACACACGCAACAAAAGTGAGCACATGCGCACGCTCACAGTGGCAAACTGGTTGTAAACCTAAGTGTATCCCCCCTCCCCCCCCCAGCTGCCCTGGGACTTCCACAGTGGGTGTGTATGTGTGAAAAATCGAAACCTGCTATTCCATCAATAAAACTTTTGCCTTTTTTTATCCTGAATCTCGCGCTTATGATAACAGGGCAAAGCACTGACCACACCCTGGCTTTTATCTTGAGTTTTCTGACCCCCACCCCCTCACTCCCCAAAGATGACCCTGGAGTTATATGCTCATCCTGTGTGAATATACCCTGTTTCCCTGAACATAAGACCTCCCCGGAGAATAATAGCAATAGCAATAGCAGTTCGACTTATATACCGCTTCATAGGGCTTTCAGCACTCTCTAAGAGGTTTACAGAGTCAGCATATGGCCCCCAACAACAATCGGGGTCCTCATTTATCCACCTCGGAAGGATGGAAGGCTGAGTCAACCCTGAGCCGGTGAGATTTGAACTGCTGGCTGCAGAACTGCAGTCAGGTGAAGTAGCCTGCAGTGCTGCATTTAACCACTGTGCCACCTCGGCTCTATAAGCTGAATCGGGCTTTGGAGTGCATGGGCTAAAATAACCCCCTCCCCGACAATGAGCCCTCCCCAAAAATATTGCAACACAGCAGCAGCCATGAGATGACCACGCTCGCCATCTCCTGCACCTCAAAAATAGTAAGACCTCCCCGAATATAAGGCCAAGCGCTTATTTCAAAGGGGGGGGGTGTCAAAAGAAAATAAGACCCCGTCTTATTTTCGGGG